GGGAGGGCAAAACAGAAGCCTTTATACATCCTGTAGGTACAACAATTCTTAAGTCTGTAGTACCAAGAAACCCTTAACTCTTTACCTCTTTCAAGTTATACACCTCTTCTGGGTAAACCTGGAATTTAACTAACACCAGTCCAGGGAAAAAAAGAAAACTACCATTCCAAAATGGACAATATTAGGCAGCAGTTAAAAGGAAAAAACAAACAAACAAAAAAACCCAACCCCCCCCAACCAATCATAAAAAAAACCCAAAACAAAACAAAACAAAAAAAAACCCTCAGCCAAACCCAACAAAACCACACACCCCTTTCCTTATATCCAAGATCAAAATCTGCAATTCTTCACTATTAAAAATTCATTGGTTTGAACAACACTGTCCTTTAAACAAAAGCATACATTCCTGAACTTCAGCTAGTATTTATTTCTAAAACCAATTAGATGGATATTGTTATGTACTTCATGAATTCAGAATTATCAGGCCACGTCTAGTTTTGTATTTATAAACAGATTTTCAGGTGATTACAAAAAAGAAAAACCAGAACACAAACCCATTTCAAAGTTTCTACTGTGACTGTCTACTGAAGGAGACCAATCATTTTCCTTTGCAAAAAAGAGATCTAAATGAAGAAAAAACCCAGTTATGTTACTTGGTCTGGCATAAGTCATAAAATAAGAAAGCACATAGGCGAATGAGACTGATGACCACTTGAAAAGCAAAAGTAAATCACTATGCATAATGGTAATTTTTAGTTCTGCAGCAGAGGTTTCTGGAAGCAAAACAGCAATTCTTACTTCAGGAATTTAACGTGCTAATCCATTTTACTCCTGTGTAGGCCTTTTTCTTCTGTCATCAGATGAACCAGCTCCAGCTGCTGCTGTCTACCATAAATAGTGTGGGAGTGGAAGTGTGTTCCAGAAGTGTCATTTCATACTGGCTGCAGGTTTCTGGTTAAAAAAGACTAAGGACTAAAGACTGTTGAAGCCTGATTTGCTCATAATAGGTTGGGCAGGTTTAGTCCCAGCGGCCTGAAGTGCAGTCTCAGAGTGTCCTGTGTTTTGCATGAAAACAGGCAGTTCTTTGGGTGGCTGTGATGGCAGGAATCAGTTATTTGTGTCCAGTGAGAGTGAACACAGCTCGGAATAATCTTCCCACCTGTCTCCTGATCTAGAGAAAGCATTTTCCTCAGACAGTTCTCACTGCAGCCAAGTGACCAGACGTTCAAAGGACTGTCTTTAGCATCCCCAGACACTTGAGCAGGAATGGACCCTTTGCCAGTTCCTGCACATGTTCCTCACCCCGAGCTGTTTAACTGCACTGTCCTACTGGCTCTCTCTATTAGGGATCCGATTAGGGATCAGCGTGGAAGTCACTGAGAGCAGCAGCAGAATCCCTGCTTTCAGTTCAGGTGTGATAAAAAGCTACAAAAATCTCTTGGACTGAGTCTGTAGCCCTGAGCTGTCAGCATTAAGCTTGAAGATGTCAGGAGACAAGTCCCATTGACTTGTGGTTATGATACACATACATAGTCTATGCCAGAAGTGGCAGGAGCAGTGAAAATGCTCTATAAACAGATATGCTGGAGCTTTAAAGCCTTTTCTCAAACACTGCTAAACTGTGCTTAAATAAGCTTTTGAATTTGAAAGCAAAAAATCTGATTCTATCAGCTCCAGTACAAACAATTAAAGTTCAGCCAAGTCCACAGCAAGTGAAAACAATGTCTTATAACGGGGTACACATGAATGACAACCCCTACTTCTGCTAAACACTGCAATGAAAACCTTTCAGTACTTCTGGCAGTGTCTGGCCTGAACCTTCTTAATGCCCAGCATTTCTTCTAGTAAGCCATTTACCTAAATAACTGCAAAAGCCCAAACCATATATTGAAGGAATTTCTCCTCACAGTTGGTGTTAAGTCTTGAACTATTCAATGTCAAGTTCTCAGTCGTGTCTATGAAGCTCCTCCTCTCCACAATCTGAGTGCTGCATCCTTTTTATTCTGCCCTCTCAGTACTGCCAGTGTATCACTGTATTTCTAATCAAAAATACGGAGTTAAATACGCCATGAAATGAAGTGCAACTGCCATAGGGTTTTTTGGTATAACATTCTCTTATCTGTTATCAAGTGCAATATTGTTTAGTATCACACTCTTGCTAACAGCACAAATTACTATTGCCAAACTATTCCAGTACTTCATGGCTTCGATGCCACAACATACAAACACCTTCAGTCTGAACCTGCTCCAGTTTAAAACTTGCCTCATCATTCTCTTACCAAAGCCAGCCCTTCTTATTTCCCTCCTCCATTGCTGCGAGTTGTGTGGCTGCACTGCAGTATGTTAACACTAATCCTATTCCAGTGCACCTCCAATTATTCTCATTCCATCCAACACAAACACAGTCTGGATTTATGGCCTCGCTTCTCCCTTGCTCTCCAGCTGACACGGAGCTGTGAGTTTTGAACCTGAGGGTTATGGTATGGCAGGACAGGGAATGCACATGGCTTCACCCGAGGGGCAGACACACGGACAAGGAAACAGGAGAAAGTCTGCAATGCAAATTTAAGAGCTGCACTTTCCAAACACCTCTAGAAACTGACTTTTTTTAATGCAGGTTTGGAATTTTATACTGACCTGTCTTTAACACTTATTTGGACAACTCTAATGAGCAATACAAAAAGATGCTAATTAAGTCAAGTTTAGGAAAGCAGATAAACAACACAAGTAGTAAGTGTAGGACTTGCACAGTGAAGCCTTCTTGTATTTGCAGTTGAGTGAGTGATTTTTCTATACAAGTGTCAACAACAGAGCTATTCAGAGATATTGCACTGCACATTTCTACAATGTAGCTGCTGCTTTTTTTCCAGTAAACAGTCACAAGCTGTTCCAGACATGGAACAGCAGTCAACACTTCCATGTGACTCCAAGAGTCAAAGAATGATCTCAGGAGACAAGAGCAGTTTGTTTAAACTCTGACAGGAAACCAGAAGAAAAATTACAGGTTGCCACCCTTACACATAAAGCCTAATCATGTTTAATAAAAATATTTCTACACTGAATACATGAATCACAAAAACACACAAGAGACTGAAGGATCTGTCTAGCTAGTACACCCTCCACTAATACACAGCATCAAAACTGCTCAGAGAAATTCTGCTGAATCTCCCAAAAGCACCTGCAATCTGACTGCTTCATATTCTGGATGTTAAGAGAATTTGTGGTATGTACCTAATCCACCATAGTGCACTGCAATCAAAATAAAAACCAGGCAGCAGAGCAGGGAACACCTGGCACCTGGGGCCAAGAGGGGCAGGACTGAGGGTGCTGAGTGCAGGGACCAGCAGGAGCGATCCACGGGTGTCACAGCTGGGGAGTGATCCACAGGTGGGGAGTGACACACGGGTGTCACAGCTGGGGAGTGATCCACAGGTGGGGAGTGACACACGGGTGTCACAGCTGGGGAGTGATCCACGGGTGGGGAGTGACACACGGGTGTCACGGCTGGGGAGTGATCCACGGGTGGGGAGTGACACACGGGTGTCACGGCTGGCAGTCTGGGCCAGGCTTTACTGCCATTTGTTTCCTCAGAATTTGAAACCACAAGCCCTCATCACTCACATCCTAAAATAAAGGATGTTCTGCACTATTTTCCCCACAATGTTTTTGTAACTTTTGGTGCCATGCCTCACAGGATCGAGTTTAATTTTTTTGTTTATCTTATGAAGGTAGCAATTTGTAACTTGTATGAGGAACTTTGGATCTAATACCTGCACAAATACAGATCACACAAAATATCTAACAAATTTTCTTAGCTTTTTTGTGTATTTTGTTATCAGTCACAGGGCAATTAGACAACAAGAAAATCTGATACATCTGAGAAACTAAGCTAGAATTAGCACTGCTTTAGAACTTATATATCAAAAATTTCCTTTTTTCTCTAGAGGCAACAGGGCAACAGTCTGGATTCTTTACAGCAGATGCATAAATAATCCTCTTTCACCTATATGGCCAGTTCTACTGTTTGCTGCTTTAAGACTCTGTATTAGCTTCAAGTTCAAGAAACGCACCAACAAAGAAAGAACCTCAAGCAATTTCCAGGTTTTCAGTTGCCAGACTCTTCCATCCAAAGAGTTTCTAGCACAGTTGTGCTGCTGTGACTCCAGAAGGAAGGCAGCAGAGCAGCAC